AGAGCGATAAAAAAAACGTCAACCACTTGAAAAAACAACACCTTGTTACTGATAATAAATAGATTATGTCAATTTTAAGATACTTTTCATATTTTAAAAAATCAAGCGGTTTTATCGATTCTAATTCTTTTGAACAATCATACAGGTTATGAAATTGTAAAGTTCCTGATTGGTAAATATTGATTTTCTGATTGTCTTGTCAGTTTACCCCTCAATTTATTGAATTTTAAGACGACTTATTATGGATACTACATTTCAATAGTTCAAATTCATATAAATCAATAAGTCTTTTTTTATATATCTGAAATATTAAATGAGGTATATACGTATTAATAATGCAGTTAACATTTTATCTGTAGGTGTCTTTATTTACTTAGACATCACGTGACATGACAATACTAGTATTGTAAGATATGTCATGCTTTCTTCAACAGTATAATGTTTTTGTACATGTTTTTTGTTGATAATAAACAAAAATTGTGATAACAAATAACAAGAAATATCATCAAGACGGTAAGAATATGGTATAAACTTTTTTACAGATATTTAATAAATCCCCTGTCATCACGCTAATTAGTCATTACATTTAATATCTGTTGCTTAGCAACTGTACTTTAACTCGTATGACTATTGATTGAGTGTTCAATAATTACTAATGAGAAGTGGACGACAGATCCGAGTAAAAACCTGGTAAATATATTCATGCTAGCGGGAAGCTGGCGATATATGATTGTAAATATCAATATATGCTTCCTAGATTCTAGATATTATAGTTCGTTGAAAAAGAAGAAAAACAATGACCTTACCATACAAACAATTGTTATTAGCTGTAAGTGATAAGTATTTACTGCTGCATGACACAAGGAAACAACAACATGCTAAAATAAATAAATAGATAGATAAAAAGATAGATAGATAAATAAATAAATAAATAAAACACATTCGAATATTTAAATTCAATTGAAACCCATTTATTACAATGAGAAAATGACCCTTTATCGGCTATGTTTATTAAATGACGTCATCATTTAAATCGCGATATACTTGTCTACATATTTTAGTGAAGGTCAAAGGGCACTATATTATAAAAGCAAGATATTTGAACCCACTTCTAATAACACCAATAACGCATTGCAGATGCTTCACACTCAATGGTCAGTCTAAAATATTACTCTCCAGGACACCGAGTACAGTGAACACAATAAAATGTACTGGCCGTTCACAGTGATCAATTAACCACATTTCAATATAATTAGACCTGAATATGCTCTGACTAAGCTGCGGGAGAATTTGGAATTACACACAGAGAAAACATCATTGTCAACCGACTCATCACTTGTAGATCTATTAGTTGTTAAGATAATTGATCGGCCTGACTTTGTAATGTAAGATTTGAATGGTTTATAGGAACATGGTGGGCTCAGAGTGACGTTTGGTGCACCATTTACCGGTTTAAACTCCACAGCCGTATTAATGCTGCTGACCGTTCCAAGGCGGCGCCCCTCTGTGTTCCTCAGATGTATGTCTTTGTTGTTTCATACTGTTTTGGTTACACTTGTGTCCCTTGTTTTATCGTCAACGGTAAGTATCTTCCCCTTTGCTCCTAGTTTTTATTTCCTTTATTTGCCCCCCCCCCCCACACTTCCCCGAGTCTCCTGTACCCCTCCCCTGTGCCCTTTGACTTCACGGGCCTATTATTCAATCATTTATTTGTTTTCTTTAGTTCCTTATCGCTTACTAATTATTTCGTCTTATGTATGATTTTAGTGATTAACCTGCCCATGCTCTGTTTTTTGCCCTGGTCTGTTTTTGTTTGGGGTCCTCCTGGGCTCCTTGCCAATGTCTCTTGTTGCTGGATCGTGTAGGACTTGCGTTCATTGAACGCCGCCTTTCCTTGTTAATCGTGTTTATCATATTTTAGGTGAGTTATTATCACATAGTTTTTCTTCATCAGATGGAGGTTTTTCAGTTTGTCATTTTTCTTGTTATGGATATTCTGTAAAGTTTCCATATTTTTGTTAGATAAGTGATTACCCTGGACTTTACAGGTAGTGTGAATTTTCCTTAAGTCTTTTGTTTACCCCCTCAGTGATCTTTTTATCTGTTACAATTTGGTCACCATTTTCACTTTCATTCTATTTGATTGCATTTTAACCGGTGCTGCAATTACAGATTCACTTTTTTGAGGGTCATTGCTGTCTGTCTCTTAAGGATAAAACGGTTGCTGCGGCAAAGAGTATCACATTGTGTTCTTTGACCCATTCGGCATGTGTGATTGTTTGTCCGTCATATAATATTATAGTTTTAAGTGTGTCTGGTCCTTGAGAAATTCCAGTGTGTTTGACAAAAAGACCTGCCATGTAATCCTTAAACTAATCCCCACTAAACTACTGTCAGATATAGCCCCATCTGAACAGACTTTCACACCAACGTTTTCCTGGAAAAAATGTAAACGGTGATGGTGATTTCGAATTGCATTGACTGAACCTATTAAAGTTACTGTTTTTTGACCTCTCAGATAAGATCATGATCTCTCAGATAAGGTCATATCATAATGAAGATTTTAGCATATATCCAAGTTTATAGACCTGACAAATGTGATATTTAGCTCATCAAGGTCAAGGTCACCTGGGCTAACAATAGATTTGTTTTACATAATTATATATATTTGATATATATTTGATACAATTTTATTGGTAAGTTGAATATTTTGCAACCTCACCACAGTCAAGTTATATAACCGTGTTTATATTTTTTGGCAATTCTGCTGTCAATAACTGAGTGGATATGTTAATCTATTTTTTAAAAACAAATGTTACTTATAATTACAAGAATGACCGGGGATATTTGTATTTACCAAACACGTTCTTGTTTTTATATAAGATTACCCAGATAAGCCCCATTTACACTGTCCCGGTAATTGCCATGGTATCGTTACGATGTCTTAATCCGGTGAACCGGGGTGTTCCGTGGTGGTTTTCTGAAAAATCAAATTGCGTTTACACATTCCCGACAGAGCCCAGGTGTATTCCCGGTTCAGTACACGATATAGCGTCGGATATATTACGGTAAGTGCCGATGCTAACCCTGTGTATTCCCGGTTGATCCCGGTGGAGACCAGACTAGACATGGTTTTATCACGGTCCATCCCGACCGTCGCCGTTTCGCAACGGTTAAGCGACGGGTAATGCTGGTATTATCCCGGTGACGCCTCGGTAATGCGCCGATGCTTCACGGTTAAAGTTTATGAGAATTAAACTGCTTGACCACGTTGACACCAGTCATTTGGTCAAAAGGCAGCAGAGATGCCACCCAAAGGAAAAGGGAAGAAAGTTTGGACAACTGTGCTTACGACGCCTACAGAGGTTGAGGTACCTTTGGAAACGACTCAGGGAAGAACAATACGGAACGCTCGCCTCAGAAGTGTAACAACGTTGGTAGAACGTCATAACACCCATAATGAGCATAACAATATGATAAAACTAAAGGTGAGGAATTCACATATAGGATAGTATCCAGTATATAAGGGCATAACCACTCTCGTTGGTGAGCTAGTTTTTCACCGACAGAGTTTGTGTGCCTTAAACGTTACAGAAGAAATATCAGAGAATGGTCTTCGTCTTCACTTAACAGAATTATCGAAAGTAGCACTTCAACATGTTCTTTAAATTGGCACGAGGTCGTGACGCCACCGACTAACATCGTGGTATAACCGGAAATTTATTTGACACCACTATTGAGACCACTGATATTAAAATCAACACCTACATAGATCTTAAATTTGTTGTAATGTTGTTAATATCTGCTTGAATGCTCTTAAGCATGACACTTGATTTCACAAGGTGTCAAAAACTGTTGTTATTGGGTTATTGTATGAACTAAGGTGAGAAAGTAAATTTTAGAGTGGTTTAATGATGCTTTAAGCACATTTATTTTGTGAGGAAATAATGTCTGATATGATATGTGAAATATGTACATCATAGAATAATCAATATTGAAATCAGAAATAAGATAATTTGACATTAAATTTCTTCAGAAATATGTTTTCTCCCCATCAAATGTAACATTTTAAAATACTTTGATATTGTATTTGCAGGTTAAGATACATATTGTTTGTTGATACAAAATGGCTAAAATAGACCATGTGACTGTGTAAGAAAAGATAAGAATATCCATATTTTAAGACCAACCCGCAATTAAGACCACTTTTGTCCAGTCCCGATGATGGTCTATTGACGATTTTACTGTACTTTAATAATTTAATTAATAATCTACATATATATGTAAGCACTATTTTACTGAAGGGTTTTCTCATAATATTTTTTAAGAGGCGTCATATTAAATTTAACTGCGTCGTTAGTAATTAAAAAACATTCTAGTACGTTAATGACTAGTTAAATTTTATATAGAAACTAAAGTTATAAAGGTCAATAGAACAAAAAAAACCCGCTTGCATGGCAAAATTTGGTTTAAAAGTAAATAAAATATCGTAAATTTGTTGTATCTTATTATCTGTCTAGATATAGAGTGACCAGCATTTTTCCAGCTCTCATCTAGGTGAAGGTGACCAGCGTTATCCCGGCTTCCATCTAGGTGAAGGTGACCAGCATTTTTCCAGCTTCCATCTAGGTTGAGGGTGACCAGCGTTATCCCAGCTTCCATCTAGGTGAAGGTGACCAGCGTTTTTCCAGCTTCCATCTAGGTGAAGGGTGTCCAGCGTTATCCCAGCTTCCATCTAGGTGAAGGTGACCAGCGTTTTTCCAGCTTCCATCTAGGTGAAGGTGACCAGCGTTTTTCCAGCTTCCATCTCGGTGAAGGTGACCAGCGTTTTTCCAGCTTCCATCTAGGTGGGTTTTTCCAGCTTCCATCTAGGTTGAGGGTGACCAGTGTTATCCCCGCTCCGTTCTAGGTGAAGGGTGACCGGCGTTTTTTCTGCTTCCATCCAGGTGAAGGGTGGTCAGTGTTATCCCCACTTCCATCAAGGTGAAGGGTGACCAGCGTTATTCCAGCTTCCATCTAAGTGAAGGGTGACCTGTATTGTCCTTCTCCAATCTGGATATAGTGAGACCAGTATTGTCCTTCTCCAATCTTGATATAGTGAGGCCAGTATTGTCCTTCTCCAATCTTGATATAGTGAGACCAGTATTGTCCTTCTCCAATCTTGATATAGTGAGGCCAGTATTGTCCTTCTCCAATCTAGATATAGTGAGACCAGTATTGTCCTTCTCCAATCTGGATATAGTGAGACCAGTATTGTCCTTCTCCAATCTGGATATAGTGAGACTAGTATTGTCCTTCTCCAATCTAGATATAGTGTTACCAGTATTGTCCTTCTCCAATCTGGATATAGTGAGACCAGTATTGTCCTTCTCCAATCTTGATATAGTGAGACCAGTATTGTCCTTCTCCAATCTAGATATAGTGAGACCAGTATTGTCCTTCTCCAATCTTGATATAGTGAGACCAGTAATGTCCTTCCCAATCTAGATAAAGTGTTACCAGACTGTCCTTCTCCAATCTAGATATAGTGAGACCAGTATTGTCTTTCTCCAATCTAGATATAGTGAGACCAGTATTGTCCTTCTCAATCTGGATATAGTGTTACCAGATTGTCCTTCTCCAACTGGATATAGTGAGACCAGTATTGTCCTTCTCTAATCTGGATATAGTGTTACCAGATTGTCCTTCTCCAATCTGGATATAGTGAGACAAGTATTGTCCTTCTCTAATCTGGATATAGTGTTACCAGATTGTCCTTCTCCAACTGATATAGTGAGACCAGTATTGTCCCTTCTCCAATCTGGATATAGTGAGACCAGTATTGTCCTTCTCCAATCTGGATATAGTGTTACCAGATTGTCCTTCTCCAATCTGGATATAGTGTTACCAGATTGTCCTTCTCCAATCTGGATATAGTGAGACCAGTATTGTCCTTCTCCAATCTGGATATAGTGTTACCAGATTGTCCTTCTCCAATCTGGATATAGTGAGACCAGTATTGTCCTTCTCCAATCTGGATATAGTGTTACCAGATTGTCCTTCTCCAATCTGGATATAGTGAGACAAGTATTGTCCTTCTCTAATCTGGATATAGTGTTACCAGATTGTCCTTCTCCAACTGGATATAGTGAGACCAGTATTGTCCTTCTCCAATCTGGATATAGTGTTACCAGATTGTCCTTCTCCAATCTGGATATAGTGAGACAAGTATTGTCCTTCTCTAATCTGGATATAGTGTTACCAGATTGTCCTCTCCAATCTGGATATAGTGAGACCAAGTATTGTCCTTCTCCAATCTGATATAGTGTTACCAGATTGTCCTTCTCCAATCTGGATATAGTGAGACAAGTATTGTCCTTCTCTAATCTGGATATAGTGTTACAGATTGTCCTTCTCCAACTGGATATAGTGAGACCAGTATTGTCCTTCTCCAATCTGGATATAGTGTTACCAGATTGTCCTTCTCCAATCTGGATATAGTGAGACAAGTATTGTCCTTCTCTAATCTGGATATAGTGTTACCAGATTGTCCTTCTCCAACTGGATATAGTGAGGCCAGTATTGTCCTTCTCCAATCTAGATATAGTGTTACCAGATTGTCCTTCTCTAATCTAGATATAGTGAGACCAGTATTGTCCTTCTCCAATCTAGATATAGTGTTACCAGATTGTCCTTCTCTAATCTAGATATAGTGAGACCAGTATTGTCCTTCTCCAATCTAGATATAGTGTTGCCAGATTGTCCTTCTCCAATCTGGATATAGTGAGACAAGTATTGTCCTTCTCCAATCTGGATATAGTGTTACCAGATTGTCCTTCTCCAATCTGGATATAGTGAGACAAGTATTGTCCTTCTCCAATCTAGATATAGTGTTGCCAGATTGTCCTTCTCCAATCTGGATATAGTGAGACAAGTATTGTCCTTCTCCGACTGGATATAGTGAGATTATCCTTCTCCGACTGGATATAGTGAGACCAGTATTATCCTTCTCCAATCTGGATATAGTGTTACCAGATTGTCCTTCTCCAATCTGGATATAGTGAGACAAGTATTGTCCTTCTCCAATCTGGATATAGTGTTACCAGATTGTCCTTCTCCAACTGGATATAGTGAGACCAGTATTGTCCTTCTCCAATCTGGATATAGTGTTACCAGATTGTCCTTCTCCAATCTTGATATAGTGAGACCAGTATTGTCCTTCTCCAATCTAGCTAAAGTGTTACCAGATTGTCCTTCTCCAATCTAGATAAAGTGTGACCAGGATTGTCCTTCTCCAATGTGGATATAGTGTGACCAGTATTATCCTTCTCCAATCTAGATATAATTCGACCAGTATTGTCCTTCTCCATTCTGGATATAGTGTGACCAGTATTGTCCCTCTCCAATCTGGATATAGTGTGACCTGTATTGTCCTCCAATCTAGATATAGTGGGACCAGTATTGTCCTTCTCAAATCTATATATAGCGTGACCAGTATTGTCCTGTTCAAACCTATATATATCGTGGCCAGTATTGTCCTTCTCCAATCTAGATATATCGTGGCCAGTATTATCCTTCTCCAATCTGGATATAGTGTGACCAGTATTTTCCTTCTCCAATCTAGATTTATGGTGTGACCAGTATATTGTCCTTCTCCAATCTAGGTATTTCGTGACCAGCAGTTTCTCGATATTATCTTGGTTACAAGACGTAGTATTTAGTAATGGTCATCGCTTATGAATGAAGCAATCTGAAAGGCAAAAAAACAAACACAAAAACTCTAATTATGATAACAAGGACGCAAAAGTACGAAGACGAATATATAGAAAACACGAAAGTACGAAACAGCGGGAAAAAAACGTGAAAACACGACGAAGATAAAACGAAATGGACAAATTTATAAGCTTTCGCGTCTTGGTATTCGTGCGTTCGCATGTTTGTCATCGAACTTTCGTGATTTTGTGTACGTGTCCTTTCGTGTCCGTATTTTGAGGGGTTTTTTGTTGTTGTTTTTTCGTATTGTCGCGTGATTTCGTGCTTACTTCATTCATAGGTGATGGCATTTACGTGACATCGTATAATTCTGTAGCAGTTTTTTTACGACACGAATGGCGGGGGTATAGTCTTACGCTTTTTATGACTTCGTGATAATTGGCCTGGTTTCAAGTTAAGTGTATTTGAGTTTTAACAATAAATTTGATTGCATAACTATATTCACTGTGTATATTTTACAAACAGTTTTAAAACTTACTGGTGCAATTCAACGGATTACATTCATATTGCACTTTGTAAATTACTAGGATAATTGTTTCATGAGACATATGATACAATTACCTTATTTTATAGGGATTTATAGCTTGTGTTAAAATAGAAAAAGAAGTAAGCTGTTTCATTTTATTTACATTTAAATACGAGATATTATCTGTCAACTTAAATTTTCTGTTGAATATAATTGAATGTTATGTTAACTTTGGACATATTGTTTTTAGATATAATTTTATTTTCATGTTGAATTGCCTTGGCAATGACAATTTTGACCTCGACCCATGACAGTAATTGATATGATATTACAAATCAAATATTGAAATGTTTGGGGTAAAGATAACAAATGCAGGTCGTCAATTATAAAACGGCATATTCAATTATGTTTGATATTGTAAAACGTTTTGAAAAAAAGTTTTGGACTAGTCTTTATTGAAGAATATACGTATATCTTTTATATTTCATTGCACAAGAATTCTGAAATTTAAGATCACGAGCCAAGGAGTAACTATTCAGTCTTATTAGTCCCCTACCGGTTTACCGGAGGGGACTTTAGGTTTACCCTCCATCCGTCTGTCCGTCCGTCTGTCTGTCAGTCCGTGCACAAAACTGGATCCCGCGATAACTTGAAAAGTACTGAAAATATTTTTATGAAACTTGATATATGAAAATTCTGGTTGCTATGGCAACACATAGACTGAAAATATGACAAATTTTACACATAAACTGAATCCAGTGATAACTCAAAAAGTACTGGAAATACTTTTATGAAACTTGACATATGGGTAGATGGCAGTCTGGAGATTATGTATGTCGTATCTTTTTATGCCCCCGCCATGTAATGGCCGGGGCATATAGTGTTACCCTGTTCCGTCATTCCGTCCTTCCGTCATTCTGTCATTCCGTCATCATCAGTTTCCGTTCATTATCTTAAGAACGGTTGCACACATTCACCTCAAATTTGACATATGGATATGTCATGAGAAAATACAGGTCAAGTTCGAATTTGGTCATGGTTCGATGATTTATGGCAGAGTTATGCCCTTTTTACTTTGAAAACAATATAAAAATTTTCAGTTTCTGTTCATTATCTCCCCAAAGGTACAACACATTCAACTCAAACTTGACATATGGATATGTCATGAAAAAAATACAGGTCAAGTTTGAATTCGGTCATGGTTCGATGATTTTTGGCAGAGTTATGCCCTTTTTACTTTGAAAACAATATAAAAATTTTCAGTTTCTGTTCATTATCTCCCCAAAGGTACAACACATTCAACTCAAACTTGACATATGGATATGTCATGAAAAAAATACAGGTCAAGTTTTAATTTGGTCATGGTTCGATGATTTTTGGCAGAGTTATGCCCCTTTTACTTTGAAAGTAATATGAAATTTTCAGTTTCCGTTTATTATCTCCCCAATGGTACAACACATTCAACTCAAATTTGACATATGGATATGTTTTTGGAATGCCCAGGCCAAGTTCGAATTTGGTCATGGTTCAATGATTTTTGGCAGAGTAATGCCCCTTTCACTTTAAAAATAATATGAAATTTACAGTTTCTGTTCATTATCTACCCATTACAGTGTTACATATTCAACTTAAATTTGACATATGGGTATGTCAAAGGAATGGGCAGGTCAAGTTGGAATTTGGTCATGGTTTGATGATTTTTTGGCAGAGTTATGTCCCTTTCACTTTGAAAATAATATAAATAAGCAGTTTAAGTTTTAATTTGGTCGTGGTTCAATGATTTTAGACAAACTTATCTTTCCTGAATGTTGGAAAAATTTTCAGTTTCAGCACTCATACTTTTAGCCATTATCTTGGCTACAAATATGCAATATGCTATTTTTAAAAGGTTAAGACTGAATAATTTCAGTGCCTTGAACATTGTATGAAAATGGTTTGTGTTAACATTGAAAAGTTTTAAGGGCTTTGAACTTAAAATGAAAAAAATAATTAATGCACCATCTGAAATTTTGGCTGCATGCGGGGGCATCCGTGGCATGATGACACATTTCTAGTCTTCTTTTTTTTTTTAAATATTGGTTGCCTTGGCAACAAATAGGCTTAAAACATGGCAAATATAACAATATTTGTGATTAGTCAAAAAGAGCTGATTTTTTTTTATGAAATTGCATCTTTAATTCAAGAGTTATCTCCTCTTTAAGAATTTTGCTTTTAAAAATGTTCTATTTTGGTAACATGGATGTTTAAAATATTAACTTTAGAGTTTTCTTCAGTCCGTCTGTCTGTCTGTTCATAAAAACTGTTTCCTGTGATCACTTTTAAAGAACTTTTCAAACAAATTTACTTAAAATAGAGAAAAATTGAAACAATGGCCCATCAGAATGTTGATAGGGTTCTAACCGGTAGGGGACTTATGGATTGCTCGCAATACTATGATAATTGCTTATTCTACATAAGTAAAATCTAAATCTCACTGTCAAAATATTCAAATAATTTTCGAACTCAAAACTACATTTTACATGTTTAAGTATATACGCTCGTACAATATATTTCTGTTTTAGAATCTGTTTACCATTGTTAAAATTGTATATCAAGAAAAACTAGCAACAAAGTGCTAACTGACTACAATGGCATAGAGGCGACATAGTAGCTCTCGCGTTCGCACGTGGTAGATTTAATATTTCTGATGGCCACTTTATGCCTTCGTAAACAGACCGACAAATAGAATGAATATTCAAAACGAGCTAAAATAGCTTTAAAAGATAGTTATCATCTTTATATTTTAAGTAGTAAAACCTTTCAAGTCAGGAGGGTATCGGATTTCTTGTACAATATCTCCGTGTGACAACTGATTTTTGTTATCCTGGCTGAGTAATAAATCATATGGGATAAGTTCAAGTTTCAAGACTTTATTCATCATAAACATACAATATGTTCATTGCTATACATATGATATAATGTGCATGTAATATGACAAGAAAACAAACAAACAAAGAACAAAATAATATACATTTATGGGATAAATAGTTGGTCATATGCGGACTGGTAGTAATGCATGAAATCCGGTTTGATGTGCCTACCGACGAAATGTTTTTTTTCGGTCGAAGGCCGTCTAAAATCTATTTGACATCCTGTAAAGAGCTAAATATAAGAATAATTTTCATTGGTCATTATAAAATAACAAACTGAAATCTAGGAATCTCATTGGTCATTTTAAAATAAAATGTAATGGTTCAGAAATACAATGTAAAGGATAGTTCTTTCACAGTTGTTTTTGTTTGTGAAATTAAGGTCAGTTAATTAAGTTTTTACAGTGTTATATTTTTTATCATAGCAGTTTGCATTACATTAAAGATAAAACGTTTATCTAATTAGTATCTTTATTATATACTTTCAATTATCCTATTATTCCTAATTGCATTATTTTATAATTAATTCTTTTTTATAATACTGCTAATATTGCATAGGATAACACAAATATAAAGTCAACCGTAAAAACAAGTAATAGAGACACTTAAATAAATAACGTAGTGTGGAAGTTGTCCTACTTTGAAGAGACATCAGTATCAATATGAAAAATTACGCTTTTTATTTAATTTTTATGTTTACAAAAAACAATTTTTAGCTACAAGAAAATGTTATGTTATTGTAATGCAAGTATTACTAACATTTCTAGTTGCCTCGAAAACTTAGAAATTACATAATTATGCAAGTTAACCAGTTTTACTTCGGCCGAGTGTCATTTTTTAAAGATACTTCTTGTTTTCCCTAAATACAATAAGATCTATATTGTATTTTTATGAATTTATTTGGTCAGTCAATAAATCATACAATATTCATATATAGCTTCTAATTATGTAAAGTTAGCGATATAAAGCGGTCAGTTACCCAAAGTTGATTGAACTCTGCCGGCTATACAATATATGTTTGTAATATCACAAGTCTTGCCGTTGTATAATTTGCACGTTTGGTTTGTTTACACGGGTGATGTACATTTGCTGTAAATCACGTACCCTTGCCGCTTTTGCAACTCAGTAAAATGGTATTGCACGGCCGTGCATATATTTTGACTTGACGTCATTTGCGTTATACAAATATATCGTTAAGACGCGCTTAATGTGAGCGTTACACTATACGCGCGTCAATGAAAAATGGTCATTTTCACTTCAAACGGTCGTTATTTTGGGTATGTGATAAATAAAATCTTAAATTCGTGTAAACTCATTACTGAATTTTTGAATTCGTTGAATAAAATAATATCAAAATTAATAAAGACATGCCTATCGGCCTTGGTGATAATATTCCTGCGCATTTGAACTCGAACTACATGTATGTATAATTCTACAACAATGCACTCACAATTGATATATATCTCTTAAGTATACAAATATAACACGGCCTTAGCGGCTCAAGTTACAATGACTTACATCCGTATATGATGGATCATAATTATACTATAAAACATTGTATTATTTTAGACTTTATTATGGTCTCATTAATGTGATATAATACAGTGTGTATATAAACAACATATCAAATATTAGAAAACGTATAAACATACTTTAAAAAGCATATTGTCACTCTCTAAAGTGTTATATGATAAAATCATAATATATATGCTAAAGTCACTATTATATAATGGAGTATTAATATTCAGCCACTAAGCTTCATCTTGAATACGGTATAATTTAAACCCCATTGTTTCCTGTATATAATGTTAAACATTTACCAGATATCTTAAAAATGTGCAACACAATTTTTTTTTATTCGTTCCTAAAACTGGAATTAAATAAACTTGTAAACATATAGGTTAAACAATGTTTTATTTATAAACATTACATTTACATGACATTTGACAAATAATAAATTGTACGGATAGAGAAGGAAGCTTGAAAAGATTTTTTAGAAACTCTCTCCGTAAGCACTATTTCAAAGAGTATGTAAAAATTGTAACGATTATATAATTATGTATTTTTGTGTAAAATGTACATAATATTTTCACTATAAACTTACTTCTTTACATGTACAAGAAAGTTAGCAATTTGCATATAATAAAGTATAGGCAGAAAAACCCTATAGCTCTATAGCATAAATGCACGTAAGTGATAAATACACAAATTAGCACATTTAAACTTATCAAGAAAAATAATAGAACTTTTAAACATGTTTGAAAAAAAGATATGGAAATAATTGTTAAAAGTGTTGGGTAGTAAGAGACAGATTTGAGAGAAAGAAGAAGAAAAACAACAGAAAATGGTCACTTTAATACTATGGAGTTGATGGAACGAGTTTATATATACCTTTGAGAAGATACTATGCATCTTGTAAACATATGTGCTGAGGATGTAAAGTTCTATCATATGTGCGTGATGACTCATTCGCTCAGAAATAACGGAAGTAAAATATTAACACACAGTGTACAACTCTTTAGTATTTTGTATGTCGATATGCTAATTAATAGATGATATATAAATACAGGATTTACTTTCATCAGATGGTATGAAAATAGATATTTCATTAGCGTTCGTTAGCTTTCTTGTATGAGAACCGTTTGTTTAATATAAAGCAATCAGCAATTATTTCATGTACTTTTTTAAATTTATTTTTATATTTTATATCTTTAGCAAGCTGGCGCGATTGCTCAGTTGGTAAGACCACTAACTGTCACTCCTAAGGTTCCGGGTTCGATCCTGGGTAACGACCTTGGGATTTTTCAGAAACATCTTCAGTGTTTCCCACCTAACTAGATGGGTACTGGTAAGAAATCCAGGTAATCCTTGCATGTATCAGTGCTGTACACAGGACATGAAGAAGAACTAAGGGGTCTTTTCAATAAGAGCTAGGGACTGGTTACCGGATTCCCTTGTATCTCATAGCTATCTTTTGAGTCTGCTGAGGTATAGACCCTACTGGAAATAAATGCTCTTGCACTTTCCTAGGTTATCCTTGACTGCTCGGCCAAAAAAAAATCAACTAAGCTTGAATATTATTTAACGAAATTACAGAATTTCAAAGTAACAGATAATTCATAATAATTATTATAAGTTGTATTTTACAAATCAACAACAACAAACACACAAAGGAAAGAAAAAAAAGAAGCTATTTGATAAGTTCTGAACTATTTTGAAGAAAAAAGATTAACTATTTGGGGGAAAAATCTTGAATAAACTGTCAAATCTATTCAAGAATATTCATCTTATTGTTTAGTAAACATAGAGCTATATTGCATGTGACTATATTCCTACATTACATGTATTCTATTTTATTTACAGGCTGACGTTCAAAGTGTTGGATACAATATATGAAATATTTAAAAGAGCGGCTGAAATACGGTCCTGACCGCGGATATAGAGTAAAGAGTTAAAGATATTTACAGAACAACTCCAATTGAAAATATGGTCTGGATTAAATTGATTAAAACAAGATTTATTGGATTGACAAGGGTGCTATTTAAATTAGTGTGTGTAGGTTTAATGCTCCTATGTGCGATAAACCTGGTTATGTTTGTGCAAGACCGTTTCCGGTCACAATATTATGTACAGTTTACAAATAGTTCCGGTCAAAGAACCGGTCACAACATTCTACACTCCAATAAACCGCTAGAGAAACCTAACTTTCAACAATCAGAAAATCCTTCTTTGTATCTCCAGTCAGACAGATTTGATTTGATATTTAAAATGGTTTATGCGTATTTCTATGTGTTTAAGAAACATGTGCCACAAGCAATCGAAAATGCGTATACAGAACATATTCGAGTATGGAATAATTTCAAAGAATACTGCTCTGATCAAAATAAACTTTGGTTTGATAAGAAACTTCCGTGTAAGAACAAAATGAATAAATTCGACTTTATGTCGTCATTCCACAAGACCATAGATAAAACTAAGGAAAAAGGATTTAATTCTAGTTTATCAAGAATACCCATAGACAAAAATGGCTTCCTTCTAAATGGTGCACATAGAATTGCAACCTCTATTATTTTGTCACAAGATGCAAGTTTTGAACATTTTGATTACTCACGACGATTCAAATGGGGATACGAATTTTTTCAAAATTTGAAACTTTCTGAAAATATTATGAATATGGCAATGCTAGAATGGATGAAAATCCAAATAAAGCTACCAGAGTTGATGTCGCCTGTTTCTATAGTTTCTATATTTTCAAATAACGAGATGAAAGATAAAGAAATGAGAAATATAGTAAGGGAGAAATGCTCTCGAGATAACGGCATTTTATATGAACAGAGAATTAACATTGGACAAAATGGCGCACGTGAATTATTCACACATATGTATGGACAACAACCGTGGCTGGACGTGAAAATTAAACAGATGCAATCGAAATTTACAAAATATTTTAGTGCCTTATTCCTCTTTGTTTATGCCAGGGACAGCAAGGATCTAGTTCAATGTAAAAACTGAAATCAGAAATCTTTAATAATGACAAAATATTTAAATCAACAGCTCAATATACCGGAAACTTGGAAGAAAATTTAATTCTAGCAGAAATGATTCTAAATCCAACTCGGTACAATTTATGAACTACGCTAAAGATCGAGCGATTGTAAATTAATAGCAGCAGAAAATCGCTAGACGAACCTCGCAAAAGTCAATCAAAAACCTTCTGGAATTTTATATTGGCAGAGATGGCGTCATGGTGGACTCTGGAACTGTTCTCGGCTTTTCTGGCACTCCGAAAAACGGACAGATGTAGACCTTTTATTTTCAACATGAAATCGATAAGTCCATTTGGGAAATAAGAATGGAATGTCAATTCAAGCACATGCTTTCAAAAAAAATTCAATATCTAATGAACGTCCTTGGGGTGAAGATCATTTTAAAGTCAGTGGAGTTAAAGACAATGGGATTTATTTTATGATCCTGACAATTACGGTTATTGTTATGGTATAAAATTTGTGTCACTTAAACAGTTGATCCGGTATAAAACTGTAAGAAACGAGCCGAATAAGGATATGCGTGACGAAGAACTGATTAACAACTTTTTGAAGGCAACGAAATCTTAGCAATATTGCTATTTTGATAATTTTTTCTAAAGTTATAAAAGAAATCGAAGCTTATTCTGGTATAGTAATAAATTGTAAGATTTTTGTAATATATATGAGAATTAATGCTTGTATATGAAGACAAAATAGGTACAGTAAATCGTAATCATGATCATAGTTTCTGATTCAAAACATCATTTATGTTCCGCTATTTAACGTTTGAGCTGCTATAGAGATACGTGTGAATCTTTTGTGATTTTTCAGAATCTGCAAGCCCTTATTGTATGTCTGTCCGTCCGCAAGCCTGTCTCATCATCGGGATTTTGATTCTCTGTCTAGAACATTTTAAACCCATTTCGTGATACTCATGATGCCGTTGTTAAATATCAATTACATGTGATATAATTCACTGTTTGAGATAATACACCCACTGATTATAGTCTTTTATAACTACTTATAATTACCTATATAATGAAAATATATTCATTGTAGTAAATAAGATATGTGTATGAGGAATAATGATAATAATAATAATGATAATGATTGTGATAATAATAATAAAGAAAATGATAGTAATAATAATAATACTAATAATAATTATAATAATAATAATAGTAATAAAGGATATACTTACAAAGAGAACTCATTTGAACAACATCTCATACATCCATGACCCACAGCAAAGAACAGTATAAATTTAACGTATTAAAACAATTAAAATACATTTGAAGTTTTTATGTAACATGACTTAAACAAGATAAATTATACAGAAATAATAATACTGTTTTTACCGCAATTCAAAAATTTGTTAACTAATAAACGTTTGCATATATGTGCTTGTTTTATTTGTTGTTGCTTTTTATTGGTTTGTTTGATGATTTCAACGCATTATTGGTCATATATCGGCTGTTGATTCACCTAACCGGCTTTAGCTGGATAACTAACCTAATAAGCGTGTCCACGGTAAGGACTGCTATAATCCCCAATGAGTTCTGAAAAGTTGTGAGGACAATTTGTATTAGTTCAGTTCGAGGTCAAATTTTCAAGGATAATTCACTCTGACTGAGGATCTTATAGCGACCCCGTTACATTTATCTGTCTTTAAAAAAGGCAGTTCACAAAGACAAAATCATAAAGAAAAAAACCCCCATTAAAACGCATATTTGCTTTCAAAATTTTAAAATTTCAACTGTATACCAAATTGATATTCCGAGATTTTTATTTTTAAAGGGTTTTTTTTTTTTTGGAAATTAAAGTCCTATCCAAATTTTAAGCAGGTCAGAATTCGAACGAAAATTTTGCCCCCCCCCTCTTAGCCCTTGATCTTTTCTATTGGGAAAATTTTTTATAGAAAAATGCCATAAATTAAATGGGTACACGGAAGTTTTCAGTTATGGAAAAATGACCAATATGACCTGAAACTGAATGAGAGCTATCATTAATAAGTTATGCAAGTTGGTGGGTAGGTGGAATAAAATATATATTATCGTATTCATGTAACCATTCTGACAATAAAGGCCCCTGTGAACCTGACTCTTGACCTAATGATCTCAAAATTAATGGGGTCATCCACTAGTTATGACCAATCAGTATGTGAAATATGAAGACTTTGTGAAGAATAATTTTCAAGATGAACAGTAGAAACCATTCTGACCCTTAAGGCAACTGTGACCTTGACCTTTGATCTAGTGACGCGAATATAAATGTGGGTTATCTACTAGTTCTGACCAATCAGTATGTGAAATATGAAGACTTTATGATGAACCAATTTCAAGAAAATAAGCGGAAACCATTCTGACATTTAAGACCCCTGTGACCTTTGACCTAGCGACCCGTAAATCAATAGGGGTCATCTACTCGTTATGACCAATTAGTATGTGAGATATGAAGATTTTTTGGTGAGTAGTTTTTAAGATAATCAGCGGAAACCAGTCTGACATTTAAGGCCCCTGTGACCTTGATCTTTGACCTAGTGACCCGAAAGTCAAAAGGGGTTCATCTACTTGTTATGACCAATCAGTATGTGAAATATAAAGACTTTGTGATGAATAGTTTTCAAGTGATAGCGGAAACCATTCTAACATTTAAGGTCCCTGTTACCTTGATCTTTGGCCTAGTGACCCCAAAATCAAAAGAAGTCATATTAAACTATTTATGACCTATCAGTATGTAAAATATGAAGACTTTGTGATAAATAGTTTTCAAGATGATATGCGGAAACCATGTGGTCCACCCACGGACATACCGACCGAACTACATTAGCAAAACAAAGGCATGAAAATGGAGAGTCATTAGTCTCCATTTTCGCCGGCAAATGATTCTTTCAAAACATTCAAATTGTTACTTTTAGTTTAATTGTTTTAATACATAAACATACATTGTACCCGTTTTGCATTTACTTTAAAGTCGCCTGTGCAATGGAGATTAGAATATGAATTCGACAATAAAACGCGTACAATAAAAAAATCTGAAAAATGATATCTTTGCAATAACAAAAGTCCACAGTACGTTATTGGCACATTCCTGCGTTACTGAATATGCACGGTAATTTATATGTTCGCTTTAATATGCATGTCCAAATTTATCCAACATGACGAAAAAGAACTCAAATATCAAATATTTTAGTCATGTCGACAATGAACCTGTCGACAGAGACCTGAAGATAGCTGCTTATGTATTTAGACGTTTTTCAAAAGTTAAGATGACGTTTAGTGAAAGCCAGCCAGGGGAGTTGCGTTTTCCGTCGGCACCAGAGTTTCTTCCCATCAATGTAAAGAAGGTAACACATGAAGATATACCATCGTAGAAAACAAATAACATATCTTTATTTCAAATGTGGCCTTCGAAACAAAATATAGAGTGACCAACACTACAAAAAAAACGAAAACACTGAACTGTATAGCACGCTTTTAATTTTGTGCATTTAAAGACCGTCTTTAAAACATTGAATGTATTAACTTAAATATACCGTATATATTATACTTACATGCTTTGTATAATTTGTATTATGTTGTACATTATAATTGTATGTTACATGCCTTATAACAATTTGTACTATTTAAACATGCACATTGCTTTTGTTTGTGATTTAATCTTATGTAGTGAAACTGTGTCAAGCTAGTTTAAGGAGATAAAATATTGTTATCGGTTACCGGTACTGTTGACATAGTGGTTAAGGCGTCCGCCTTCGGATCGGGAGGTCGAAGGTTCGAGCCCCGTCAGCGTTAATTGAAAAATGAATGTTTATCGTGGGACTCTTTCCAAAATGGCCGCTTCGTGAGCCGCGAGGTTGTTAATGAATGGTTACCGATTTATATCCACCTGGCGCCTGGCATAGTGGTATACGACTTAGGAGGTGCATGATATGCAAGCAAAAGGTGTCTCATAAGTCAGAAATGGCTGGCCCTTTCAGTAGGGGTGCCACTATAATAAACAAGACCTTTTTTATAATTAAATGTTGGATCAACATAGACCTATGTTGTCAGTCTAAAATTTTGACATCTTCGAAAGGCTGACGTAGATTGGTCGATTTCTTGAGATATAATACCAATGTTTTATATCATAAAAGACCTTGACTTTCGTACTGTTTTCGTCAAGAATGACTTATATGAATTGTATCAATTAAAGTATTTACCTAAGATCTGTATGACTTTACATAAAGTAAATAAATAAAGTAATGTTTAAAACATATCGCGATACTAATTTGGCACATATTTTTTGCAAGGGAAGGGAAACAAGTCGCACAAGAATAACCTATTCACATTTCACACGAGTTCTCGCCCCGCCAATACATTTCTGATAATAATGCTGATGTTATCATATAAATCGTTCAAATATATATATTATTCTAATGTGATTGGCATTCATCATGTAATGAACTTCTCGGTAAGCATACATATATATTTCTAGGTTGTTCACATGTCTCACTTTTGCACTATTTGATGTAAATCGACTATAATTTTGTTGTTATAATTTAAATGTCGAATTAAAGTTATGTTATGTTACGTTACGTTACGTTATGTTATGTTATGTTATATGTTATGTTATATGTTATGTGTATGTATGTGTATGTTATGTGTATGTTATGTTATGTTATGTTATGTTATGCAAAAAGAGTACAATGTACAAATATGATAATTATACCTTTTTGATCATTTTTGTGTAATTGCACTTTGTTATATTTTTTCCATTCATTCATTCATTCATTCATTCATCCTTAGTTCGTTTGTTCGTTCGTTCGCCCGTTCGCTCGCTCACTCACTCACTCACTCACTCACTCACTCACTCACTCACTCACTCACTTAATTTAACATTTGATATTTAATATTTGATTTGATTTAATTTAATTAAATTTATACATTTATTGTTATTTTTATCATTTTTGTTCGGAGCATAACTAAAAAGTGTTGTATTATTAGCGGATCTCA